GGGGGCCCCTCCCTGGAAAGGGCCCCCCCCCGACCCCCGAGGAGGAGGGGGAGGAGGGGGAGGAGGAACCCCCGCCCTGCGCCCCCCCCAGCGCCCCCCCCGGGGGCCCATCCCCCTCTCCCAGTTTCGAGTACACCCTGTTCGACCCCGGCTCGGCCCTGCTGTGCCCCCGCGGGCCCCCCCCCGGCTCCCCCTACGCCAACCTGGGGCCCCCCAAAGCGCCCCCACCCCCCCAGAGCGGCCCCCCCAAAGGGCGAGGGGGAGGTGCCGGGGACCCCCCCCCACTGAGAACGGGCCCCCCCTACGTCATCTGCTCCTAAGCGGAGGCTGATGACGTCACGGTGATGTCACGGGGCACTGACGTCATCGTTGGGGGACACAACACGGTGACGCCACAGGGAAGGGACACGTGATGTCATGGAGGGGACACGGTGCTGTGACATCACAGGGAAGGGACAAATGACATCATGACGAAGGGGAGGTGTGTCACGGTGATGTCACACGTGATGTCATGGAGGGGACACGGTGCTGTGACATCACAGGGAAGGGACAAAGGACATCATGACAAAGGGGAGGTGTGTCATGGTGATGTCACACGTGATGTCACGGAGGGGACACGGCAGAAGGAACACGTTACACTGACATGCTGCAATGTCACGACGGAGGAAACGCGTCATGGTGATGTCACGCAGAGACGCAGTGATGTCATCTCAGAGGGGACGTGACGTGTCACAGTGACGTCACACGGAGACCCCTGAACACGAGGACACAGAGGGGACATGTCACCTTGTCCCACATCGACACGGAAGGGACGTGGCACGGGGACACAGCGTGATGTCACGACAGAGGGGACGTGCCACGGTGACATCACCCGGAGACGCAGTGACGTCATCGCAGAGGGGATGCAACACATCATGATGATGTCACACGGAGACCCTGGGACACGAGGACATGGAGGGGACACGTCACCTCGTGACACAACAATGAGAGAGGGACACGTGACGTCACGTGTGTCACGCCAGCGGCATGTGACGTCATGCTGGAGGGGACACGTCAGGGTGACATCACACAGCGACGCAGTGATGGCACCACAGGGGGACACGTGACAGGGACACGTGGGACAGCACAGCCCCCAGCTGGGGACACTGGGGGACCCCGGGAGGGGCGGGGGGAGGGAACACTCAGGGACACTGAATTTCCTGTGCTTTGGGTTTTTAATGTTTTTATACTGGAAATGGACAATAAATTTACAGTAAATACACAATAAACAATGGCCGGCCCCACCCGCTGGGGGGAACTGGGAGCGCTGGGATGGGTGACTGGGGACACTGGGGCTACTGGGACAGGGGGAGATACCAGGAGGTAACTGGGAGAGCACTGGGGCACATTGGGGGGGCAATGGGGACACCAGAGGGTAATAGGGAGAGCACTGGGGGGCACTGGGGAGACACTGGGGAGACACTGGGAGCGCTTGGAGCAGCACTTGGGGACACGTGGGGCCCTGGGGGGTGGCGGGTGCTCAGGGCCGGGTGGGGGGGGCTGATAACCCTTATCAGGAGCTCCCAGATGGCACTGGGGGGGCCCAGTGGACACCTGGAGCCCTGTCACCGCCTGTGTCCCCACGTCACGGGGGATGGTGGCAGGGTCACCCCAAAACGTTCGGGACAGGGTGACGTTGGGTTTGTGTCACCTGCGGGGGGGGTGACATCAGGTCCATGTCACCCCTTTTGGGGGTGACATCAAGTCCTTGTCACCCACCGGGGGGTGTGTCACATCAGTCCATGTCCCCCGTGCCGGGGGGGGTGTCATCCCCACTCCTCCTCCGTGTCACTGCCCCCCTCCCCCTCTTGCTCCTCCTCGCCCCCCTCCCCACCCCCCTCCCCGTGGGGGTCCAAGTGGAGCCTCCAGCGCCGGGGGGGCCTCCCGGGGCGGCTCAGTCGGACCCCCACGAGCCCCCCGGGCCGGGGGCTCAGGAGGCAGCGGGCGGGGAAGAACCTGCGCAGGGTGGGCAGCACGTGGGGGGCGGGGGAGGGCAGGCGCAGTGCCGCCACCACCTGGGGGGGGGGCCGGGGGCGGCCCCGGGGGCCGGGGGGGCGGGTGGTCTCCAGCAGCAGCGCGGCCAGGCGGGCGCAGCCCCCCGGGGACGCCCCCAGGTACTGCTCGAGCCCGTCCAGCAGCAGCAGGTCGGGGGGGCGCAAGGACAGAGCACCCAGTTCACGGCACAGGGACCCCCGGGAACGGGGGTAACGCAGCTCCAGGCGCTGGGGGGGCAGAGGGTGGGGACAGAGGGGGAAGAGGGGTCAGGACAGGCCCCCACGCGCCCCCCAAAGATGAACGGGGGCACACAAAGCCCCGCCCACACACGTGGCCCCGCCCACTCAGCATTCCCCGCCTACCCACAGGAAACCGCGCCCACCCTCAGAAAACCCCTTTCAGAAAGGAAACGCCCACCCCCCAAACCACGCCTACTCTAAGCAAACCCCGCCCACCCTCCATCCACCCCCGCCTCCCCGCAAACAACCCCACCCACAGCCCCCCCTCACCTGCAGGGCTCTGGGGTCCGTGCCTGTTCCGCCGCCGCCGTTCGGGAGCCGCGGGACCGCGCTGGGCGCCAGGAACAGCGCGCGGGGCCCATGGGCGCCGCCCGCCAGCGCCGCCTGCAGCAGCAGCGCCGTGCGGCCCGAGCCCGCCGGGCCCAGCACCAGCACCGGCTCCGACATCTCCGGCACCTCGGGCACCGGGCCCGTCCCGGGCCCCGCCGAGCCCAGCGCCCGCTCCAGCGCCGCCGCCATCGCGCGCGGGTACGGCGGCAAAGGGCAATCAGCCAATCAGCTGCGCCTCTCGGCCGCGCTCGGCCAATCGGAGAGGGGCTTCCCCTCGGCGCGGTTCCCGCCACGGCGGATCGGCCAATCCCATTACAGATCCGCTCAGCCCTGTTCCCGCCCACGACGGGCGCGCGCACCTCAGCCAATCAGGGCGGAGCTCCCCTCGCCGTTGTTCCCGCCCACCGCCTCTCAGTCAATCACGACGGATCTTCCCTCAGAGCCCCTCCCACCGTCCCGCCCTAGCGCGGTTCCCATTGGCCGCTCGCGCCGCCAATCCGGCACTGCCCCGTCTCCTAGTGACAGCCGTGGCTCCGCCCCTTTTCGCGCGGCGGGGCGCGGCCAGGCGGAGCTGTCCATCACTCATCGGATACGCCCACTGACACGCCCACGGACACGCCCATCCTCGTGCAAATCCACCCTCGTGTGCACACGGACACACCACGCCCGTGGGAACACACCCTTGTGCAAACCCGTCATCTGTGCTCACTTACCTGTGCTCACTTACCTGTGCTCACTCACCCTGGGCACACACACACACGTGTGCTCTGAACACGCACAGATACACACATGCACGCACGTGTGCACACACACACGTGTACTCTGAACACGCACAGATACACACACACGCACGTGTGCACACTCTCACACACGTGTGTTCATATGCACACTCACCCTGGGCGCACACACACACGTGTGCTCTGAACATGCACAGACACCTGCACACACACACACGTGTGCGCACACACACGTGCTCACACACACTCACCCTGGGCACACGCACACACACGTGTGCTCTGAACATGCACAGACATCTGCACACACACACACACGTGCACACCCACACTCACACAAGTGTGTGACGTTCAGTCACACATGCATGCTCTGACCCTGCACACACATGCATCACACACACATGTGTGCTTTGCACATGCACAGACATACATGCACACACACACACACGTGTGCATACTCACACTGACTCACAGAGCCCTGTTGGCACACACATGTGCCCTGAACATGCACACACACACACATGCACACACACGTGCCCTGAAAATGCACACACACACACATACATGCACACACACACGTGTGGTGATGTGATCTGGGCTCTGCTGTGACCCTGCACATTGGGAGATCACATGTGGGTACATGAGGGTCACACGAGGGGACATGCATGTCACATGAGGGTGCACATGTGTCTCATGAGGGTCACACGTGTCACTTGAGGGTACACATGTGTCACACGAAGGTCACACGAGGGTACACACATCTCCCCTGAGGGTCCTGAGGTGGGGGTGTCCCCTCGGCTCTGCGTTTGTTCCCAGGGGTCCCAGGGGGTTCCCAAGTTTTTCCGGGGGTCTCGAAGGTTCCCAGGGTTTCTCACGGGGTCCCGAAGGTTCCCAGGGTTTCTCACGGGGTCCCGAGGGTTCCCGGGGGTCCCGAGGGGTCCCGGGGGGTTCCCGGGGGTCCCGAGGCGGGGGCGTCCCCTCGGCTCCGCGTATTCTCCAGCAATAACAGCGCGGTCGATGTTGATCCGTTACCGCCCGAGAATACCCGGCACCGCGGGGCGCGGCGGGACCCCGGGACGGGGGGGACACGAGGGGATGGGGGGGCACGGCGGGGCGCAGGGGGACCCCGGGATGGAGGGGACACGGGGGGAGGGGGGAACCTGGGGGTGGGGGGCGATCCAGGGTTCTGAGGGGGATCCAGACGTTTGGGGGAATCGAAGGGGGAGAGAGATCCAGGAATGGGGGGGGTCTAGGAGTTTGGGGGGATGCAAGTCCAAGGGGGGCCCCGCGAATTGGGGGAATCCAGGAATGGGGGGGTCCAGGAGTTTGGAGGGGGGGCTCGTGTTGGGGGGTCCTGGCGGTTGGGGTTTCCCGAGCTGGGGGTCCCGGCAGTTGGGAGTCCTCTGTTGGGGAGTCTCGGGAGTCTCGGGGTCCCGAATTGGGGGGTCCCTGCAGTTCGGGGCTGCCCCGCCCCTTTTTCAGCACCGCGGACAGTTCCCGCCCCCCAAACCGGCCATAGGGACATATAGGGATCTATAGGGGATCCCCGGGGGCCATAGGGATCCATAGGGGAGTCCCGGGGCCATAGGGATCCGTACAGATCCATAGGGGATCCATGGGGCCATAGGGACCCAGACAGGCCCACCAGGCCCTATAGAGATCCATAAGGGTCTATAGGAGCATTATAAGGGATCCATAGGGGCTGGCGGGGCCCAGGGTCTCTACTATAGGGGATGGGTTCCCCTTTAATCCCCGGCCATAGGGTCCTCCCCCATGTCCCCCCATCTTACGACACCCCTATATCCCCCCTTATGCCTCATCCACCATATCCCCCTGGCCACAGGCCCCCCTCCCCCTCATATCTATAAGGGTCCTTCTATATCTCTCCAGTCACAGGACCCCTCCCATCACTCCCCCACTATAGGGCCCCCCTTTATTCCCCCATCCATAGGACCCCCCATAGACCCCCATCCATGGGAGCTCCCCTATACCCCCCATCCATAGATCCCTCCATACCGCCCAGCCACAGACCCCCAGCCACAGACCCCCCCATATCTCCCCATCCATAGGAGCCCCCCTATACCTGCGCATCCATAGACACCCCCAAAACCCCCCTCCACAGACGCTCACTATGTCCCCCATCCATAGCCCCCCTCACCTCCCCCATCTGGAAACCCCGCCTGTGCACCCCCATCCATAGGAGTCCCCCCTATACCCCCTCTCTACCCCCCATCCACCGAGCGCCCTATACCCCTTCATCCATAGGGCCCGCTCCATACACCCCTTCCGTGGGGGTCACTCTAGATCCCGCCATCCCCCACTTCTATTTCTTGATCCACAGGGGTCTCCCCCATCCATAGGACCCCCCATAACACCCAATCCATAGGGATCCCCAGATAAACCCTCACATCCCAGAGGGCCCCGCTATGCTCTCCAGCACAGGGTCGCCCCTTCCATAGGACCCCCCATACCCCCCAATCCATAGGGATCCCCCCTATACCCTCCACATCCATAGGGCCCCCTCTATGTCTCTCCATCCACAGGGGTCGCCCCCTTCCATAGGACCCCCCATATCCCCCAATCCATAGGGATCCCCCTCTACCCTCCACATCCATAGGGCCCCCTCTATGTCTCTCCATCCATAGGGGTCTCCCCCATCCATAGGACCCCCCATACCCCCCAATCCATAGGGATCCCCCCTATACCCTCCACATCCATAGGGCCCCCTCTATGTCTCTCCATCCATAGGGGTCTCCCCCATCCATAGGACCCCCCATATCCCCCAATCCATAGGGGTCCCCTCTATACCCTCCACATCCATAGGGCCCCCTCTATGTCTTTCCATCCATAGGGGTCTCCCCCATCCATAGGAACCCCCCCCACCGCCCCCCATCCATAGGACCCCCCCCATCCCCCCCACTCACCCTCGGCCGCCGGAGCCGCGCCCGCCGCAGTCCTGGGGGGTGGGGCCTACACAGACCACGCCCCCTCGAAAGCCGTGCCCACTATCCCACCCCAGCCACTCCCCCCCTCTGGCCCGGAGCAGGCGTGGCCTATATCTGAACACGCCCCCGCCACGCCCCCACAGCGCGAGGGGGCGGGGAAAGGGGTGGGACCCGCCCCGTCGTCAAAGCCACGCCTATTGCACGCCCCTCCCCACCGCAGTCTGAGGGGGCGGGGCCTGAGTAGGGACACGTCCCCTCTAAGGCCCGCCCCTTTACATCGATCAGGGCGGAGCTGTGTTTAGTCACGCCCCTCCATCCAGGCCACGCCCCCACCCCGCCCACTCCCTATAGGAACGGGATGGACGCTCCTATTGGCTGCCCGCGGGCACAGGGGTTCTGGCCACGCCCCTTTATATGGACTGACACCCCCGGGCCCTAAAGACACCCCCAGACCCCCCCCCGAGATCCCCGTAAAGACAACCCCCTGTAGACATCCCCCACCGAGATCCCCAAAGACACCCCCCAGACAGCGCAAACCCCCTACAGAGACCCCGATAGACATCCCCTATAGACCCCCTGCCCCTACAGACACCCTCTATAGACCCCCAGCCCCTACAGACATCCCCTATAGACCCCCAGCCCCTACAGACACCCCCTATAGACCCCCAGCCCCTACAGACATCCCCTATAGACCCCCTGCCCCTACAGACACCCCCTATAGACCCCCAGCCCCTACAGACATCCCCTATAGACCCCCTGCCCCTACAGACACCCCCTATAGACCCCCTGCCCCTACAGACACCCCCTATAGACCCCCAGCCCCTACAGACACCCCCTATAGACCCCCAGCCCCTACAGACATCCCCTATAGACCCCCAGCCCCTACAGACACCCCCTAGAGACCTCCCCAGCCCCTATACAGACCCCTATAGAACCCCCTGCCCCTACAGACCCCCCTATAACCCCCCAGCCCCTACAGACATCCCCTATAGACCCCCAGCCCCTACAGACACCCCCTAGAGACCTCCCCAGCCCCTATACAGACCCCTATAGACACCCCCTATAGACCCCCTCCAGCCTCTAGAGAGACCCCCAAACCCCCCATAGACCCCCCCACTTTAGACACCCCTAAATCCCCTAGAGGACCCCCAAATTCCCCATAGACCCCCCAACTCACCCCACCACCACGAGAGGACACGGACCCGTCACACAAAGCCACTTTTATTCTCCCCCATTCCTCCCCCAGTTTTCCAGGACACTCCCCCACACACATCGTCCCCCCCAAAATTTCGGGGTCCCCCAATTCCGGGGTCCCCCCGTCCCGGGGGAGGGTCTCTCAGGTCACTGCTGGGAACTCGGCCCGACGCACCTGGGGGAGGGCATAGGGGGGTCAAGGGGGGCCCCCAAAATATTGGGGTCCCCCTCAACCCTCCCGGGGGGTTCAGGAGTCCCCAGATTTGAAGCGACCCACACCAAGGGGTTCAGGACCCCCCCAGTTTCCCCGCTCCCCGACTTTCAGGACCCCTCAGTTTTTGGGGTCCTCTCCATCTCTCACCTCCCCATTTTTGGGGTCCCCCCCCTTTTTCCCCCATCCCCTACTTTTGAGGTTCCCCTCATTTCTTTGCCCCCTCCCGTTTTTGACGTCTTGCCCATTTCACTTCCCCCTCCAGTTTTCAGGGGTCCTCATTTTTGGGATCCCCCTGTTTTGGGGGTCCCCCCAATTCCAGGGTCCCCCCTCACCTGGGTCACACTGATCTCCTCGAGTGGGGGCTGCGGGGGGGGCAGTTCCTGGGGGGCTCTGGGGGGCTCCCCCGCCCCCCCCCACCCCGACTCCTCCTTGTTCTGGAAGTTTCCAACCACGCAGGTCACCTGGGGGGGGAGGGGTGGCATTTTAGGGGACTCTGGGGGGGTCTTAGGGGTCTTTTTAGGGTGTTAAGGGGAGTCCCAGGAGGGACTTGAGGGGCCTTGGGATAATTTGGGGGGTCCCAGGAAGGAATGGGGAGGGGTTAGGGGGTCCTGGAGGGGTTGGGGGTCTTGGGGGGGTGTTAGGAGTGTTTTTGGGGTCACCAGAAGGCAGCAATCCCGGTCCTGCACAGGAACCCGGGGGGGTTTGGGGGCAGGTCTTGGGGTTCAGGGGCGTGGTTTGGGTTTTCAGGATGTTTTTGGGGCCACTAGGGGGGGTTCAGGGGTGTTTTTGGGGTCTCACCAGGAAGGTGGCAATGTCGGTCCCACACAGGAACCCAGGGGCGTTTGGGGGTTCACAGGTAGGTTTGGGGGTGTTTATGGGGTCTCACCAGGAAGGCGGCGATGCCGGTCCCGCACAAGAACCCCCCCAGCACGTCCCCCCAGCTGTTGCGGTGCTCGGCCACTCTCAGGGCCCCCAGCAGGAACGGGGGGGCCGCGAACCCCAAAACCGCTGCAGGCTTGGCCAGGCGGGACCCGCCCCCCCGCCAGGCCAGGGTCACATAGAGCTGGAGGGGGACACACGAGGTCACCCCAAAATACCCCCCCATAGAACCCCAAAACACCCTAAAACACCCCAAAACACCCCCAGCATCCCAAAAGACCCAAAACACCCCAAAACCCACCACAGTCCCCTCCGCCAGCCCAGGGTCATGTAGAGCTGGGGGGGACACAGGGGGTGACCCCAAAATAACCCCCCCCCAAACCCCCATAAAATACTCCAACCCCCCCCAAATAACACCCCCAAAACCCCTCCAGTCCCTCCAAACCCCCCTTCCCAGCCCCCACCCCCAGGGGCCCCCTAAACCCCCCCAGACCCCCACCCCTGTGAAGGCCCCAGCGTAGCCCCCCTATAACCCTCCCAAATCCCCCTCTATCCCCTCCAAACCCCCTATACCCCCCATATATACCTATATAACCCCATATAACCACCTCAAATCACCCCCCAGCCCCCCCCGGACCCTCCCAGACCCCCACCCCTGTGAAGGCCCCCAACTCCCCCCCATAACCCTTCTCTATCCACTCTCCAGTCTCCCTAAACCCCCATAATCCCCAAATAACCCAAATATAACCCCCCCCAGCCCCCTCCAGACCCCTCCCCAGCCCCCCCCAAGGACCCCCGGACCCCCACCCCGGCGAAGGCCCCCGCGTAGGCTCCCAGCGCCGCCTCCTTGCAGGGGAAGGCCCTTCGAGCTGCCTCCACAGCCGGGGGGTCCCCGGAGCAGGGGGAGCCCCCCGGGGGCACGAAGTGGGGCTGGGGGGGGCCCGAGGGGGGGGCGCAGCCCAGGGCGCTGTAGTTGGGGCGACACACGGCCAGGAAGTGGGGGGCGGGGGTCCCCAGGACCACCTGGCCCGCGTTGGCGAAGATGGTGGTGGTGAGGAGGCCGAAGGAGAACACCCCTGGGGGGCACACAGGGGGGTCAGGGGGGAAACTGGGGGGGATTTGGGTTAGAGGAGGGTAACGGGGGGTTTTCCCCCAGTTCCACTCCTTGCCCCCCCCCCCAGTCTCCCCCATTTCCCCCCCAATTCTCCCCCCCAGAGCCCTTTTGCTCCCCCATTTCCTCCCCCTTCCTTTGGCCCCCCCAATTTCCATCCCAATTCCCCCTCTAACCCTCCCCATTCCCCCCCCTTTGCCCCCCCCAGACCTCCCAATTCTCCCCCACCCCCCCATTCCCGTTCTTTATCCCACTCAATTCTCCCCCACCCCCCTTTGCACCCCCAGCCCTCCCAGTCCCCTCCCTTTGCCCCCTCATTTCTCCCCCTTTTGCCCCTCCTTTGCCCCCCAACCCCCCCCAGCCCCATTTCCCCCCAAATCCCCCCCTGACCCCCCTCACCCAGGAACCGCAGCAGCCGCCGAATGGGGGTCCCCTGGTCACAGAGCCGCTCCCAGCGCGGGGGGGGGGCGCGACCCCCCCGGGACCCCCCCAGCCGGCCCAGCAGCTCCCCCACCGCCATCTGGGGGGGACACCCCATTACTGACCCCACAAAACCTCCCTGGGACTCCCAACCCCCCCCCGAAGCTCCCTCACGGCCATCTAGGGGGACACCCCGTTACCGAGCCCCCCAAACCCTCCCAGGGACCCTACAAGCCTCGTATTACTCCCTCCAAAGACCCTTTAGAACCCCCCACTCCTCCCAAGACCCCCCCAAAATCCCCCAGGACCATCCCCAAGCCCCTTGAACCCCCCTTTGCCTCCCCCCAGGGACACCTTGGGACCCCTCACCCCCCCAAGGCCCCCCCAACCCCTTTTTACCCCCACAAAGACCCCTTAGAACCCCCTCACACCCCCCCAAGGCTCCCCCGGGGACCCCCACTCACGGTAAGGGCGGGCACAGCAGTGACCAGGGCGTAGACCAGGGCGGGGGGGGCCCTGCTCAGGGTGGGGGGTCCCGGGTAGGGTCTTCCGTAATCGGGGTCGCGGCAGAAGAACCCCCCGACATGGACGGGAAAGGCGTCGGTGAATTCCAGCTGGTACGCCAGGGCGGCCGTACCCCCCAAAATACCCACCTGGAGGGGCACTGGGTCACCCCCAGACCCAGTGGGACCCCCAGAGCCCTCCCAGAGACACCCCGGGGGTTGAGACTCCCCAAAACCCAGATGGGACCCCCTAAAACCAGTTGAGACCCCCCAAATCCCACCGAACAGGGATCCAGGGCTCAGGGACCCCCCAAACAAGGATCGTGCCCCCCAAAAGACTCACCTGGGGGGCACTGGGTCACCCCCAAACCCGGCGGGACCCTTGAAAACCCACCCAGGGGTTGGGACCCCCCCCAACCCAGCTGGGCCCCTCCAAACCCCACCCAACAGGGGCAGCAGTATTTTGGGTGTTCTGTGTTTTTTGGGGTTCACCCCAGTTTTGGGGACCCCTATGTTTCGGGGCCCCCCCAAGTGTTGGGGTCCCCCCCGTGTTTTGGGGTCCCCCCCCACCTCCACCAGGAGCACGCAGGGGACGATGGAGCCGCCACGTTTCTCCCTCCGGGGGGGGCCCATGGTGGGGGGGTCCCCAAAACCCCCTGCGGTGGGGCAGGGAGGGCTCTGAGACACCTGAGGGGGAAAGGGGAGGTCAGCGCCACCCCCACAAGCCCCCCAGGCCCCCGCAAAGCGACCTCCGTCCTCCTGGGACCCCCGAAAAGGGCCCCCCATCATCCAGGAACCCCAAAAATGACCCCTCAGACCCCCAGAAAGGGCCCCCATCACCCAGGGATCCCCAAAAATGGCCCTCCCCATCCCCCTGAGACCCCCAAAAAAGTCACCCCCCCAATTTGGGGGTCTTTCTGCCCCACCGAAAGCGCTCCCCCCGCCCTCCCCTCCCAAAAAAAGGCTCCGCCCCCACCCCCCGTCCCCCCCTCCCGGACACCCCTGAGACCCCCCTCCCCAAAAAGCCTCCCCCACACACCTCGTGCCCCCCCCAAACCTACTCGCCTCCTTCACGCGGTCTCAGGGTGCGGGGGGGTCGCGGGGGGGCGGCGGTTCTGTCGCGACAGAGACATCGCGATACTGCGGGGGGGGGCGGGGGAGGGAGGGGGTGGCGGCCTCTGATTGGCTACCGGGAGCGCCCCTCCCCCCCTTGAGCCACCCCCCCACTGCGGCAACGGGGGAGGGACCCCCAAAACGGGACCCCCCTAAAGGGACCTCCCCAAAAATGGGGACCCTCCCTAAAGGGACTCCCCGAAAAGGGATCGACGGGCCGGGACCCTCCCCAAAGGGGGCTCCGAAAGGGGCCCCAAAAAAGGACCCCCCAAGGGACCCCCCAAAAGGGACCCCTCGAAAATGGGACCCCCCCCAAAAGGGACATGGGTGGACGGGACCCCCCCAAAACCAGACCCCAAAAGGGACCCCCCCCCAAGAGGGACCCCCCTAAAGGGAGACCCCGAAAAGGGACCTCCTAAAAGGGACCCCCAAAAGGGAGGCAGGAGGGGAGGGCGGGACCCCCCAAGGGGACCCCAAAAGGGTCATCTCTAAAATGGGACCCTCCAAAAATGAGGAACCCCCAAAAAAGCACCGAGGGGGGCGGGACACCCCAAAACTGACCCGCTTAAAACGGGATCCCCAAAAGAGGACCCCATAAAGGGGATCTCCCTAAAATGGGACCCCTAAAAGGGGATCCCACAAGGGGGACCTCCAAAACGGACGCACTAAACCCAAAAGGGCTCCCAGGCGACGAGAGCCACCCCCCAAACATTCTTTTGAGGGGTCCCGGACCCCTGAGGGGAGTCCCCTTTGGGGGGAGTCCTCACTTTTTGGGGGGTCCACTTCGTGGAGTCTCTTTTGTGGGGACCCTCTCCCGGTTTGGGGGGGTCCTACACCCTCGGTCCCCTTTCGGAGGGGGTCCCTTTTGGGGTCCCCCCATTATCGGGGTGCCTCTTTTGGGGTCTCCCCCACTTTTGGATACTCCCTTTTATGGGGGTCCCTTTTCGGGGGTTTCTTCCCTGGGGGGTCTCTCCGATCCCCCATATTAGAGGGGGATTGGAGTGGAATCCGCGGGCGCCACGCGCTTGCGCGGGAGGCGTGGCTTGAGTCACACGGGGCGGGGCTTAATCGTGGGGCGCGGTTTTAGGACGGGGCGTAGCTTTAGGTGGAGGGGCGTGGTCCAGTTGGGGGCGTGGCTTTGAGCAGAAGGGGGCGTGTTTTGCACCTGTCCTTGCCCCACCCCCTTTTTCGTCGCCAAGCCGCGCCCCCTTCAGGTGTGGGCGTGGCCTGGCGCACAGGTAATTGGGGCGTTGCCTGTGGGGTCACGTGGGGCGGGGGGCGGGGCCACGGGAGCGGCCTCGGAGCGACGGGAGCGGACCGGGAGGTGAGGGGGGGGGTTCTGGGGGTTCCTGGGGGGTCCCTCCCCTCCCCCACCCGCTTCGGGGTCACTCCTCCCCTCCCCCCCCGGGGTTACCCGCCCCTCCCCCACCTGGACTTTGACCCCGCCCACACCTGGGACGGGGTGGGGGAGGGGTGGGAGGGACCCCTGGGGGGGTTGGGGTGTCAGGGGGTCACGGGAGGGGTCGGGGGTAACTTGGGAGGGGGGTTCGAGGGGGGTTAGGGGAGTCCCGGGGGGGTTTCGGGGTCCGCGAGGGGGGTTTGGGCGGGTCCCGGCGGTGTTTGGGGGGTCCCGGGGGGGATTTGGGGGGTCCCGGTCGGGATCTGGGGGGTCCCGGGGGGGAATTGGGGTTGTCTGAGGGGGTTCTTGGGGGGGTTCGCGGGGGAGATTTGGGCCGGTCTGGGGCAGTTCCGGGAGTTCCGAGGAGTGTCCGGGGGGCCCAGGGAGGTGCGGGGGGTTCCGAGGGGGATTCTGGGGGCTCCGGAGGGGAATCTGGGGGGTCTGGAGGAGAATTTGGGGGGTCTCGGGGGTGTCTTGGGTAGATTTCGGGGGGTCTGGGGCAGTTCCGGGAGTTCCCAGGTGTGTCTGGGAGATCCCGGAGGGGTGGTTTGGGGGGTCCTGGGTGGGGTTGGAGGTGCATTTGAGGAGGTCCCCGGTGGATTTAGGGGGATTCCCAGGTGGATTTGGGGGTCCACAAATGCATTTAAGGGGGTTCCCACTTGTATTTGGGGGTGTCCCAGGTGGGTTTGAGGGTCCTCAGGAGCATTTTGGGGTTCTCGGGTGTATCTGGTGGTCCCCAGGTGTATTTGGGGGTCCCCAGGTGCATTTTGAGGGTCCCCAGGTGCCTCTGGGGCTCCGGGGGTGCCCTGACCGTGCCCCCTCAGCCACAGGACCCTCGGGGCCCCCCCGCCGACCCCCCCCCATGGCAGGAGGCCCCCAGCTGGCCCTGGCCCTGGCCCTGCCCTGCCTCGCCCTGGCCCAGAGTACGTAGGGGGGGCTGGAGGGATTTGGGGGGGGGCAGAGGGATTTGGGGGTGTCCAAGGGGGGTGGGGGGGAAGCTGGGAGGGTCCGGGAGGGATTGGGGGGTGACCTAGGGGTTCTGGGGGAGAGGGATTTGGGGGCATCCCAGGGTGGTTGGGGGGGGAGTTGAGGGGGTTGGGGGGTATTTGGTGGGTCCTGGTGGTGTTTTTGGGGTGTTTTGTGGGGTCCTAGGGATGGTTTTGGGGGTCTCTTCCCCTGCCGCCACCCGTGTCCCTCCCAGTTTCAGGGCGTGGCCCTGACTCACCTGTGGGATCAACAGGTGCCTCTGGGGGGGGCTGTGAGGGGGTTTCGGGGGGCTGAGAACAGCTGTGACCACCCCGTGACCCCCCCGTGACCCCTCCATTGCCTTCCCAGCCCCTCCCAGTGTGACCAGTAACAGCACCAGTAACAGCACGACCCCCCCTGGCGGAGGGGGGCTCTCGGTCAGTGGGGGGGGACACACGGGGGGAGGCACTTACGTTTGGGGCATCCACGGGGGGCTTTAGGATGTCTCTGTGTGGATTTAAGAGGCCCGTGGGGACACATGGGGGGGTCCCTGGGGGGTAGGGGGGCTCCTGGGATGCGGGGTGGGGCCACTGGGGGTCCCCAAGGGAG